ACTGAAAAAAACATGCTCTTTAGTTAATGTGCATTAGGACAGACTAATGAGTGTTTTCCTACTACCTCACAATGGAGGTACTAGATTTAATATGCATTAACTAAAGAGTGTTAATGCACATATAGGCATGGCCAGTATATGGCAAACTGGACCTGATAATAAGAAAGGAGAATGCAGCACAAGCTAATGCTCAATTTACAGAAGCAAACCAAGTCTAAAAAGAAACACCCAGTTAGCACCACCAGATTCTGAAGCATGTTGGATGCCTGAAGCTTCAGATTCCTGTAGCATGTGCCAATGCCAAGAGAACTCCCATCCTAGTTATTTGGAGGCAGTCAAGTTTACTACCATTGGCCAGCACAACATCATAGCCCCCAAAACATCAAACAGAATCAAACTCCAAATGGTCATGGTCTTTGAAAGCTATACACACTCCTCCAATGGTGGCATGGCTATATATAATATCATCACACAATTATATTGGCGTTTGAATGTGGTTATTTTTTCCATTTCCTGTTCTGTAAGGTGTTTCCATATACTTCCTGAAACATTTGGTACAAAAACCTGGCATGACCCAAATTTCATGGAAGAATTACAACTGTTTTGAAATTCCTGGAAGCATGCCAAATGTGATCAAGTTCCATTATTTTATGGTGGTTAATCAGCATTTTGTTGATGCCTGTTTCTTAATTCACTAGGCACTAATTAGGGATCAGCATACAGAAGGTGCATAGTGACTAACCTCATTAGATAGAAGAACCCAGTATGCTATTAATTCACGTTTACAAGAGCCTTAAGTCGAATGCTTTGACATCCCATCTGTGTTTGACAGTAAAGTTGCTGTGTCATCATTTGTGAGTTGCAAGTGTATCTGCTAACTGCAAATGGTGCTATTTTTCTCCTTTTAATTATCACTTGGCCTTTGTTAAGCATCAGTGTAGCTGGAGCTGTACAAGACAGAGGAGTACATATTGTCTGTCCCAAGGAGCTGATAAAATAGGCAAGCTAAAAACAGGTAATTGCTTACTGAGAGAATGCAGTGATAATCATTATTAGTAGCTTGTTAAAAATGCCTCTGGGATGCAATCTGGAAAAACATGGTGCTTTCTTATCAGTCATTCTGAACCAGCAGTTTAAGGAGGATTCTGCTAAACTAACAAGCTCTTAGAAATAGGGAATCTATCATATCTGGTACCTTTCTGGCTCTCAGCACCAGTGAATGTCACAATTTTTAATGCATTTTTCTTCACCATCCCTGTGACATAGGTTAGCACTATTATCCCCATTGTGCAGATGGAGAACTGAGACAGAGAGGGTCAGAGGCAAGGAGACAAGATCCTTTAAAGTGTGACTGGTAACACCAGAGGCCAGGACCTGAGATGCTGGGGGCAGCTGGGTGGGAATGGAAGGTGGGTAAGGGCAGGTGTGGAGAACAAGACTGAGGCAGAATCTAGGAAGTAAGGCTAGGAATATGCAGAGTCAGGAAGTTGCTCCAGGTGTGAGATACATTTTGCAGCTTTTTAAACTGTCCTTAAGCCTGCGTCAAAGCCAATCAGGTAAGACAGCTAATAGAAAGACTGGTCAACCCGAGCTGGGACTGAACAGTCCATTGTGGTTCTTAGCATGTGACTGATTGATCTCAGCACCAGTTGCGGGGGCTCAACCCCTGCCTCTACTGGCATCTTATAGTTTCATAGTTTCTAGGGTCGGAAGGGACCTGAGCAGATCATCTAGTCCAACCCCCTGCCATGGCAGGAAAGAGTACTGGGGTCAAACAACCCCAGCAAGGTGTTCATCTAACCTCTTCTTAAAAACCCCCAGGGTAGGAGCCTGCACCACTTCTCTTGGAAGTTGGTTCCAGACCCTAGCCGCCCTGACCATGAAATAGCGCCTCCTGTTGTCTAACTTAACCTACCCTCTGCCAGCTTGTGACCGTTATTCCTGGTCACTCCTGGCGGTGCTCGGGGGAACAGTGACTCCCCCAATGCCTGCTGATCGCCCCTGACT